CACCAACAGATCCTAAACAAGGTAATGAATACAGAAGACATGCTAGCAACAATGTGATAGTTGATTTCTCTAGTACCGTATCCTCGGCTTGCTTAGGATCTCAACCTCAACTCGCATTGTTTCGAATATTTGGTAAACTCGAAAGGCGATCGACTCCAAAATCGCTCGCACCCTAAATCAGACATTGCAAAACGATTGAATCACATTTCCCCGATAAGAATGAAATTGAGATTTCTAGGAATCAGTATTACGTCACCATCCCCAGCATCGTCATCACCTTCTCCAATAAAAAATTTGAATTTGCGCAAAGCATCATTATCCTCACTTTCAAAAAACGAGAAAAGTGTCGGGTGCACACCCATACACCACAAGTGAAGGACGACTTCCAGCAGCAGGTCAACCCTACGTTGGTACAAGTACCAACGGGGGGGGGGTCGTACCTGGTTGAGTTTGTAGGAGGGGGGGGGGGGTCGTACCCACTTTAGTCGCTCGAAATCACGTGTGGGATTGAGGTGAAACTAAGATTTCGTGGGTAGTAGGCTGGGCGAGTGGAGGGCGCGCAGGATAAAAATTTGCAGCGGGCGTATATACCCCCCGCTCGACGGCATTTTGGAGGAAAAAGTGGGCGGGGTTTTGATGGAAGATGGAGATGGTGGAGGTAGGGAAAAGGGGGTCGTATCAAATCCACGTTGGGGGAGGGGGGTCGTAAAAATTTCGAAAAGTAACAACGATAGGACAGACCCTGCTTCAAGTAAAGCCTGGTTAGTAGTGGTTCTTAGTGAAGGGTGATATTCGGTAAAGGATGGTTGCAATTAGTGAACAACTGATAGAATACGACTGCAACAGGCTAACCATTTAATCGGCAGAAAACATTTGCATTTTGTGGAGGCCGTCGTCACTTGTGGTGTATGGTCTGTACCTGACGCTCTTCGCGTTTTTTGAAAGGGAGTATACATGCAACTGTGTACTCCTTGTGTCTCATTCGGCTAACCCCAACAACCCCAGTAATTCCATAAAATATCCTCACTAACCCAATCACATTGATGAGAGCGGGACCCGACATCGGACCAAATTCATAGCCCGTGAAAAAGCGTGGCCTGATGTCGAGCTACAGCCTTGTGGCTCTTCTTTTTTCACATAAGAACGACTTCGACCGCGATTTCGTTATATTCGAACATAACTTTTGGCACCTAGCAAGCGAACCAAGCCAAGAAACCTAACGAAATGATAAAAATTCCAGAAAAGTCTGAGAGTGGAAACTTCAAACTCACATATGAGCTTTTGTTGTATCTGGGCGGATACCTAGAAAACCACAGCAAGCGGTGTCATCATTGATCGGAGTTTGAAGACCTTGAAAATGAGATAAGATACACCCTACAACATTAGCTATGACGGCTGGTAATATGGTCGTTCGAAAAAATTTTTCTAATAGATGATACATCGAAATATCTAAAAAAAAATATTCATAAAATGGCTCACCGCCGAAAGCCGGAACAAAAAGAACTCCATTTGAATTCTGAACCGTTGCTGCCAAAGCAGATGTCTGTGTGACATCAGCAAAAAGACCTACAAATACACAGTATTAGGTCAGCTGATAAAAAATTCACCATTGTTTTTTTTTCTACGATAAATCATATTCACTCTCAATACATAAGTGCTACATCGGAAAACCGCACATCGACACGTTAGTTAAAAGGGGAGGATTGCTCTGAAGTCGAAATTTTTGTTCAAGGTGTTAAAGGCAAAGTTCGGGCTCAGACCCACCTAATAAGCCCTTAAAGTGGCTAGAAGTGCATGGGACGCAACTGCAGGCGACTCGCCAAGTTCCCGCATCCAAATGCGTCACTAAGGCGCTAGGGGCCAAGGACTTTGACACGCTCCACCTGTTGCGACACGCTCCGCCCACCGCTCGATATTTTGTCTGCGTCGCAATGCTGATCTGCTATGCTCTCTCTTCTCGGATTTCTCTACCGCTCTCCGCGCTCACATTATCTCTCATCTCCCTGCCGGCCTTTTGAACTTCTCCACAACGTAGAGCAAAAGGCTCGTATTTCCTGTGTATTTCAGGATTTTCCTTCCTTTTTTCTCCACTGGCGGTCACCCTCCCGCCCCTACATCACATTTGAGTAGAATTACCTCATCGGTTTAAGCTTGAATCTTGCCTTTAAGCCCGAAACGTCGGCCGCGTGTGTGCATATATTACCACCTCAAACGAAGGAACAGCCACTATCCCATTTTTTCCTACTACTGTAAAATCATTATTTTAGGTTGGCCGATAGAAAATGTCGTTTTCTGTCATTATAAATTTTATCTAAAAAACGGCAGCAAAGCACATGAGCCTAAAATACATTCTCATTGCGATAGCTTACTTACTCGATTTTTCCATGCATACCAATTTTTTGGTTCTGGAAGCTTTCAAATTTTGACTGTTGAAATACAGTCAAATCTCCGTGCTGTAGGCAAACTTGCATGCGATAGAATTTTTTCATTAATCTTCAATGTGTTCCACTTATAGGGAGTTACTGCAATAGAAGTTCGACCAAAATGACCTGCTATGGCTAAGAGAAGGCAAACTCGCTTAAATAGTTTCACAGTTATTTAATAGTGGTTGTTTCAGTAAAAAAATATATAACTGTGAATTTCTTTTATATGGCAATAGGCGTTTGTAATCATTAATCACGTTGAGTCACGTTGATGAAACAAGAAAACGAGGATGAACAAAGGCCAGCCATTTCGTACGGGCCGGGGCGCCACGCCGGGCGCCGCCGGGGCTGGCGGGGCGGGCGGGCCGGCCGCGGCGGGCGCGGGGGCCCCGCGCGCCGCGGCGGGGCTGAAGCCTCTACACCCAAAGAACAGTTGTTCTCTTATGAGCCATACATCGGCGTGCAGCAGCTGTCGGCCGCGCGCGAAACCTCTTAAATGACGAATGATATTATACAAAATGCGTCCTACTATGCTTTGTAGCCCATTTCAGCACTACACCGATCAGTGCGTCATTTTCCATTCGCCTACAACACACAGAGTAATTGGTCACACGCCAAACACCAAAGGGATGATAGCCCTTGAACAAATGCGTGCTTGAATCTACCAAATGTTTCGCCGATTTTAATTAATGAACATTATGAAAACTTCGAATAAATTTAATTTAGACGACTATACCATTCATGGATGCGTGGATGGTACCACCGGTGTTCAGATCGACAAAAGTGCCAGTTCCGAGTGAAATCTGGAATGAACACTTCGATGCTCCGCAGATGAAAATCAGCATTCAAAAGCGTCCCTAGTCCATCTTACCGTCGTCCAACACCCATCCTTACCACGGCTAACGCTACACAATAAATAGCTTTATTCAGTTAGAGGTCCTACGAAGTCAATTTCGACATTCGCTGTGTCAACATCTCGAAATTTTAGCTGAATAAAGCTATTGTGCGATGTTAGCCGTGGTAAGGATGGGTGCTGGACGGCGGCATGTTTCCATGATAAAACTTGTCTCACTGACGTAACTTTTTGTCAGCATTGAATTAAAACCAGCGTTAAATGAATCAGTATCAAATACCTTAATGTCACCCGGCCGCCATCCTCCAGTTCCATACAATGCTGACTGTTGATCGGCAAGCTGAACGTTATAGATGCGGCGAAGAAAATCTCCATAAAATCATATTCATCTCTTTATAGTAAATTGGCTGAGCCCGGTTCTGAGGACTCTGTCAAATTTTGCGAATCGAGCGATTGTCGCTAGCAGTCTGCGGGTCGACGTCGTGGTACAGCGAATTGCTCGATAAGCTGTACGCGACGCGATCGTGGACGCGAATCGCCTCGATTCGCAAAACCTGACATCGGCCTGAGACAGCCCAGAGAAAAGAACGTTGTAGTTAGAGGTCTGCGCTAGTTAACAGCCGATCACATTTGGGGGAATAGATGGCGATCCTGGGAACGCGCTTTGCAACAGTGGACGGTACTCACTAAGAAGCCCATTCGATTGCGAGACAGCCTAGAATATTCACGGTAGGCGGAGCGTGAGCGGGGGTGGGCGGGAGTAAAAGCGAAAATCCGCGGGCAGGCATTCCTTGCTTAGTCTTCTTTTTTATTCAGCGAAGTTTTCGAGTTTCACCGTGTTCTTGACTATTCAGTTTTGGGAAGAGTTCGGATTCTTCTCATATTTTAGAGCTCTTGTTTCAAAAAAAAAAATGACAGCTCAAGCTACAAAGACAAAAAAGCAACAAATTATGAAACCACACTATACAATGAAACAATGAAAGCTGTACTAGAATACTGACCACCGTGTGTATTGGTATCTTCCGTGAGAAAAGACGTCGGGCAACGAGACCGAGTGGCCGCTCACTGGCTGAGTCAACCAACGGCGGTAGAATCGCCAAAGGGAAGCCAATAATTCGTAGTATCGTTTTATTGTAGTCGTTCTGAACAAGTATGTGACGCTTTCACCGAATCGAAAGAGCAAGCCAGACCAATGGCCAGATGACTCAGCTACTTTAGTCCACCCAATTGAGTCACTTAGCATCAATTTTAGAGCGTTTATAACTGCCCAAAAATGTAGCTGGCTGATTAACCTTGTGAATTTTTCAAAACAAATCCTTGAAAACCAAGGTAATGTGTGATGCACAGACCAGAGGATTTGATGCAAGTTTCGCTGAATGAATGGCACTGCGAACTCACAATGAAGGGATCAAACATTCCGCTTGACGAGTAGTTGGAAGCTTCGGCTATGTGAACGTTGCCATCGGTGAGTTTCAACAGCAGCCATGTCTCAAGACAACCGAAACCAAGTTGACCACTCTTCAGCAAATCCTTCATCACCGCGGACTAGAAGAAATTTTCTAGCAACAGCTCCAATCAATCCCATACTAGGGATTTTTTGCATGATTCAGGGGGTCATATATTGAACATAAAAATATGGCTCAATTTTCTGGAGTTCAGAACCTCAAAAAGGGCAGTGGAAACGCAGCACATGATTCGATCCACATTGATTGGGGAGTCTAGAACTTGCACTGGCTGAAGCCACCAGGTTGGCACCAAACAGCGGCCAGCGGCAGAAAGGAATACTTGAATAAGTCTCTGCAAACCATCATGGACCACTACCAGCGGTTACAAAACTTGACGCATCCCCAAATAAACTGGCAATCAAAATCTGCCCCCGATTTCGGTTGGAAACAGTCTTGCGAACGAAAATACTAGAATGTTGCCATGCAAAATTCAGAAGAGGGACCAATAAAAACTGGGTGCTACCGCAAAATTGCTAACGTTTCTAAGAAATCCAGAAACCTTGAAGTTTCCATCCGTGCCACTATTACAAGTCCTAACTTCTCATGGGCGGAAGTGGTGCAGTGACAAGTGGCGCGCTCACCACGCGAGCGGTCCGGGATCAAATCCTGGGTCGTGAGTCGCCCGGGCCAACCAAGCCTTCCATCCCTCCGGGGTCGGTTAATTGGTACCAGACTTGTCTGGGAGGATAAAAACTGACTTGTACATCGGCTGGCCCCCGCAAGTCATTGTATAGGCCACATCGCATTCAAACGCCACTACGAATGTACAAATGGAAGTAGAATGCGTGCCGCATCCCAAAAAGGGATTGATCAACGGCAAATGCTTTATCCTTTTTATTACTCATCGTCGTTCCTATCCTGCTAAAAGAACTGCAAATCACAAAGACAAGCTTCATCGGTCCGAGGTAGTTGTGATACACAACATTTTGAAGACTTCTATCTGATCTCTCAGCGAACCCTTAAACGGGAGTTCATCAAGGACCTAATGTATAATCCACTATTCCGGTATTGTACACGCGACAGGTTTCGTCATTTTCACCACTCTGCTCAAGTGTGACCATAACTGCGACTGTTAAACCATTCGCACTAAGATTTCAGATCGGGCGCCATAATGCGGTATTGTGGGGAAGAATACAATTACTGCACGCGTATGAGCACCTGAATCGCTAAAACATGACAACCTTCTCTGCAGACTAAAGAACCACGCCGGTCGCGGTTAGAAGATTGAAAATCGCTTAACTAAGAGACCAGACTCCTAAACTCAGGGATGATGATACTGTTGCGACATAATAGTACGCGACCAAGTACAAAATGACTGCGCAGACCGCTGTGATAGCTGTCATCCTCATCAATGCAGCAAACGTGGCGTCTACGCTCTCGCGTACGACGTGCCCTCTCACACAGCGCAGTGTCTCTCCGTCGTACAACATTTGACCACACAGAAAAAAGTCTGGTGTTCTCTGTAAAACGCATTGCTTTTCTCCACTAACCTTCCTATACGCGAATCTTGTCCAATTTTTCAACAAAACACAACAACTCGATCGCGACCCGTGCCTTTGAGTTCGTTCCAGAAATTATAGGCACCATGGGAGCTCCGAATGAACAAAGGAACGCTTGTTTGCATAGAGTCACCTAAAGGCGGAGTTTGCTATTGACAGCCCACTAGAAATCAAGGTAGAGGTGGTCAGCGGTACAGGGATGAAGAAAAAAGAATAAGAAACGGCCCAGAACCCGAGAATTGGAACCTCTTTCTTTGAGAAACGGAATCTCTTTCTTCCCGTTGATTTCCTATCTGGTGCGAATCTCACTGGTGCTGACCACATCGGTTAACACTCTCTCTCTGCGAGACGGTCAGAAGACGGGCAGAACCAGACTGCGAGGGGATGGGCGGGCAGCGGCGATAGCGGCGCGGGAACGACCGTGCTAGATCGCTGGATGCATATCCTTCGCTGAAATTGCGCACCCTCACAATTAGAGGGTCTGCTCGTCTTTCCACTAGGTAGGTTTCCCGCTCGACCTCCGACTTATCAGAAATCTTCCTTTCGGCACTCTTACTTGTTGTACGTCCGGCGACACACACACTCTAATCATAATCCGATTTGCTGATATCGTACATAGTGAACAGAAAACAACCGTGAAAATTCATACACCTATTATTATTTTTTTCAATATGGCCGCGATTTCGAAAAGCCTTACAATAATGGCGACAAGAACTTGTCAAATATAATACATTTGTACTACCGAACACTCAATAATCAAATGTCTAGAAATTAAGAAACTGACGCAGAAGGAGAATGCCCTTAAAGGTTGAGCTTCAAATGAGACGGCCTCATGATGCTAACCAACCTTCATCGTCAATGATTTATTCCATTGCGTACAGGCAGCTCTTGCACGGCCATCACTCCAACAAATGATCTTGGTTAGCGTATTATTGTTGGCTCTGAAAACTAAGATTACGCCACAGCCAAGTACTTATAGTAGGTAGCACAGGTAAGGGATTAAAACAATATGGCCGTCCCTAGGACTCGGTCGTATTTTGCACTAGCATACATGGGCACTTCAATCATCCGACAGCGTTCGCAATATGTACGAATTACGCACGATGTGCATATTTCTGAATGAGTATTTTTGCATGAAGATCTCAGGTCTCAACCAGGATATATTGCGTTCTCACGTTCACTAGGCTCCATTTATTCTAACTTATACATTGAAGCAGCGCTATTTGAGGACGTCATTTAAGGGCGGATTTTACGATGAAAAGGCAACCCATTCGAAATTAAATTACAAATGCTAAGTGAGGCACGAAAGAAGAAAAACAACAAAAACGGGAAATGGAACCCCTTACTTGACCGTTAGCTTCGCATTGATCCGACTCTCATCGTTGCTGCCCTCTTCAGCACTAACGCTCTCTCCTCCACATGGCTAGAGGCTCAGACAGTGAAAAAGGAGTGTACCGCGCCGATATAGATAGGGGATAGCCACGCTAGAACGCCGTGGGTAAACCTTGCTGCGAATTGTGT